GCATTGGTATGTGTTATCCTCTTTTTGAAATGGCTGCCGTGGACCAAGCGCAAATCGTATGTCCCACTGACAACTGCGACGTCTGTCAGGTATCGCTCGCTGACTCGCCGCGTGCGGCGGCTGCGGCGTGACCTAGTTTCGACGGACGCGCGCAACGAAGCGCACCCAGATAAACTAACCTGAATATCCGCAGTCGTCGGGAAAACCAAAAATTGTTTAAAAAGAGACGTCGATTACGGTAGGCGGCGCAAGTGGTGCAAATGCGTCTAGCAGTATTACAAACGGGCTGGTTTGCATATCTCGTATTACACATCCATTCATGTCCGTATGAGTATGTCAACTGTTTTAGCCGTAATTAGGCCGTAGGGTACTCCTTCTGCCCTGTCCGGCTAATAGCGCTTATTCATTGTTGCACATGCGCCGTCAGTATCTGGTAGTGGGAACGACCGCAAGCTCGACGAGGCCATCGTCGAAGCATAGCAGAACGTCAACGAAAAGCTCATCGAAAAGCTCTTCGGGAACGTCTTTGGAGAAAATATGGCTCATTGAATTTTTTCATAGAACAGCGTACAGTGTCATTGTTGTTTCGATGTTGAGAAACTTGATGACTATTAGAGGAAATATAATTTATCGACATGGGCCCTTAGCATTTAAAAGCTACAAGAATTAAAACCGTTTTATTTTCATTGTTGGTATTAATATGCTTATTCCTTTCCACGTTTGTTCACATTTTTACTGTCTGAAGAATTCTTTGAGAACATCCCTCTATGCAATCATGAACGAAATTTCTACTAGACGTTATCAAGCTGCGTGTGCACATATCTTGAGAGGCCGTGTAAGTTCGTCGGAAGAATAGGTCTGTGGGCGCTCTAAGTCTTCAGAATGTTTTGGATAGCTTAAAGATTCTTCTTCGGATGAATCGATGTGAATTCATAATACTTTCTCGAACAGAAAAGAAGAACAAACTGTGCAACGTCTTTCTTCGTGTAGATTACGTGGTAGATGCCCTGCAAGACTGGCGTAAGGGAAATCCACTCTTCTCTTGAACCGGAAGTTCGGCCGCTGTCTCCTCTAAAAACTTATTATCATAACTCTGAAACCAACTTCTCCACTCTTTATAGATTAAATTGATTAAAGTCATTATCTATTATACTTCTGCGCAAAAGATCAAATGCACAGTTCAGGGAGCTGAGTTGGATGTACCGAAGAGAAAATCAAGCTGCAATAGGAAGTCCAGCCAAGATTGGCTGATTTCATAGTCCGGGGGAGGAGGGCGGCAGACGGTCGGTCGGCCCCTCGAAGGGCTGTAAACAAGGAGAGACAAGATCAAAAACCATTTGTACAGGCCCCTGGTTGTTTGGTTTTTGATCTTGTTCTTCTTTGTTTTCGACCCTTCGACCGACCGTCTGCCGCCCTCCTCCCCCTTAGCACTGCCTCGTGGCACGCCGGCCGACGGACTATGAAAGCAGCCATTGGTATTTTTCCTCCATTTTTCTCAAGTTTGGATCATGCAGGAGATGAATAACATCAAGGATTACTTGTTCGTGTAAAAAATTCCAGAGACGTAAAAATCATTTCGAGTAACGGTTGGGCTCTGCAAGTCGCTCCTTTTACGTAATATGGGCTCAATTGCCCATGCGATTCTGAGATGTTACTTGTATTAATCCTCAATGATTTTCAACTACACGGCACACTCCGGAAATCAATTGCTTGAAATTAACAACAATGCACTTAGTACACAATGAAAGACACATATAACATCCAACCAAGGAAGGGATCGACTCTCACTAGAGTTTTTCTGTAAAAAGGGATTTAACGATAAAACAGAAGGCATACCTGAACTATCATAGTGAGAAGCGATCGGAAAATAGTGTAGGGCGTGAGCGTGGGTGTGGCGTATGTGAACACTCTCGATCACGGTAATACTGTGTACATCTATATTGAATCTCCCAGGAGGTCCACATTTCATATCATGGAAGGGACACGAAATCTCGTACTCAACTGCTGGACTGCATAATCGTACTCATTTATGTTGCAGAGCAATATTCGACATCACTGTCAGGTCACCATCAAAGATCAGTCTAAAGAAAGTTTTCATAAGAGTATGAACAGAAGCTGAAGATATCCCCGTGCTGAAGATAAATGTGGCACAATTGTGAATCATAGCTGCAGAAGTTCCATGTCTAATAAAAATCTCTCTCGAGTGGTAAAACACGTTGATTTTGTTGACTTAAGGGGAACCCTATGATCTACGGCTCTCGGAATTACCTTATTCACGAGGTAAACAAGTGAGTGGAGTCAGAGGATTCTTTCGCAATGTGAATAGGCATTTGTATGGGGAGTTATAACGAGTGTAGAAAAGCTCTTCCAAAGCCACCCATACGCAGTTCGTCCACACACCTAATCGCGTCCCGAGCAGAGCCGCCAAATCTTCTTCTTCTTCTTCTCCCTAGCGTCAGTCCCGCGCCGTCGCAGGGTCCGCTGTTCTTATCAGTGGTCTCCATTTCATTCTAATTACGGCATCTTCTGCCGTCACCTTGGCTTCGGCGAGGTCCTTCTTGATCACGTCCCGCCATATCTTCTTTGGGGCTCCCCGTGGTCGCTTGCCTTGCGCCTCGAACTCCATTGCCTTCCTTATCGGGTGGCTCTGTGGTCTTCTTAGGACATGTCCGAACCATCGTAATCGCTGCTCCCTCATCTTTAGTTGAACTGGAGCTGTTTGCATGACCGTCCTGACGTCTTCATTCCTGATCCGATCTAGCCGCGTCCAACCGCAGTCTCATCTGAGCACTCGCATTTCAGCAGAGCGGAGCTGTCTTTCATGGGTTTTACAATACTTACGGGCCAACACTCGCTGCTGTAGAGCATCGTAGGACTTACCACTGCCCGATACACCTTTCCTGTGAGAGTCCTGGAGCACCTATGGTCGCAGAGGATACCAGTGGACTCCCTCCACTTCATCCAAGCAGCGTTTATTCGGGATTTTACGGCCTGGTCCACGCTACCATCAGCTGCTAGATCACTCCCCACGTATCGGAATTCCTGGACCTTTTCGATGGCTTCCCCGTA